GGGAACCTAATTTAAGTGTCCGTGGCGGGAAGTTTCCTCTTGCGATGAAGTGTGTGATTGGTGGTTGAGGGCGGGTGAGGACGCCCAGCGGGGTTGCCCGCTGCAGTGTGACAAGTACACTGGAGGTGGGAGGACGCGTTACAGTTCCCCGCCCTACTCGCTCTCCAGAATGCACCCTGACAAAGCACAAGAGGAACTCTCCACGTTCACTGACATCTGAAGTGGCATTCCAAGGAGAGAGAGCCATTCCACGGGATTACACAGCCTACTGGAGGAGTGAAAAAGTCCTACAGGTACATGAGCCGCCATTTTCACCCCCAACTATATTCCCGCCCTGTAAAGGTGACGCCCATATATAATTCCGACTTATACATATATTTATTATAAACATATACATATGCACATATAAATATACATACAATATAAAGTGTGAGGGTGCAAGTGTAGGCTCGGGTGAGGTGAGGAGTGATGGAAAGGGGGAGGGGGGGGGGTTAGAAATAGCCTAAGCTACTCTATCCCTTTGAGATGTATTTTTTTCTTGTCTCAATAAACATACTTGAACTTGAGGAATGATGGTGGTCGGGTATCTATACTTATTGTTTAAGATTCGCTACCTGGAACAAAAAGTTCCAAGTAGCACGGGCTATGGTGAGCCCATCATCTCTATACTGTCAGCTGGGCATGGGTACGTGTGGGTAGTGTGCCTGGGGATGCTCCTACACGCCTAGTGCCTGCCTTGTCACGCCCTAGGCTGTGACAAGGTAGGCATATTGAGATTACTTATAGCATTTAAATTGAGGTACTTATAATAAACAGTTAAGGTTTAAATAATAACATGCGAGATCCAAACAGCGTTCTTCTGATAACCAAATTGAGTGTTATAACTACATAATTGATAATTAAACACAATCTGAAATATAGAGAAACATTTAAATGAGAGAAGACTTGTAATTAGCATGCTCCCGTATTTTGATGAGAGGGAGCAGTAGAACAACATAGCATCAGGCTATGTCCCATGTGCATGGGACATAGCCTTACAGGTTCCGGAAGATGAGAGGAAATGACAGCACCTGATAAAGACCTTCTGTGCCCTCTGCATAATGCTTTTGCGCTACCGCTCACAGGATGAGTATGGGGTGCACAATAAACTAGCAGACTCCGGCGGCTACTCACCGCTGGAACATTATCTAACACTCCAGCGTTACAAACCAATACAATTTCAACTAAGATTCAACAGAGCACAAGAAATTTTTAAAAAACATTGCGCTTAATCTTACTGAAGCGACCATACGAGTCATAAATACTCATACTCCGCCTAGGTAAAACAGAAAAAAGCAACACTTAGTGGGTCAGCCAGAAACCTATAGGGCCCGCGCAGGAATATCACCGTAAAAAAAATCGGCTTGTTTGGTCATATTTCTATGTTAGTTTTCACTCATATTAAACAAAATAAAATCATATACTATAATGGAAACCTTTACCATTACATAGAAAACAATATAGAAACATATATAATTTAAAGAAAATTAGACTTGTTAGGCAAATCGGGCCTTGCATACTAGGCCAAGTAGGGCGTTATATAATACATACATATATATACCAGGCGCTCTATTACATCTAGTAAGCAGGCCCGAATTGCTATTTGGGCAAAGCAATTTTCGTTATTTTCAAATATTTATTTTCAAATTGGCTAATTTTTAACAATATTATTACGAGCATATTATATTAAGTACATGAAATACCTCACTAAATTATGTTAAGAAAGGTTAGATTAGGCTCGGTCAGGTTTTGCTCATACCTGCTTGATTTATAAAAAGGAAAGTGTATTGTTAATATTTAAATTGGTTATAGTTATTATTAAAGAAATACACACATTCACACAGAGACAGGCATATACAGACACATAGAGGGTCACAATGTATGCGTGTGGGCAGTGTGTGTGGTAATCGTTGCTCGTGTTTTCATTACCGGTGTCCCCAGGGCCGCCAAGTCGACGTGTCGCACGCGGGAAAAAAATTGGAGAATCGTTAAGCACCTCCAATACGCTGGGGATTATAGCTATTATGACAGTTCGTCAGTGGGATCGACGCGCAAAATACCACAGAGTTTTTACGATGGTTACATAACATAACTTTTCGTTATAAATTTAGCGTTTAAAATATAAAGAATGAGTTAAGAATGAGGTTGATATTTCTGGGGAAAATAGCAGTGGCTGGTATTTTACGTTGAGAAGAAATAGCACTGCCTTATCTATTTTCATATTTGGACGCTGTCAGCTACTTTATTATACTCTTCAAAACTATCTCTTCCTGTGAGCTAAAATTCATATTGTGCATCTTATACTTTATTCTGTAAGTGGCAGTTGACAGTGCACTCATTCCTCATCCTGTAAGTGCAGTTGACAGTGCACTCATTCCTCATCCTGTAAGTGCAGTTGACAGTGCACTCATTCCTCATCCTGTAAGTGCAGTTGACAGTGCACTCATTCCTCATCCTGTAAGTGCAGTTGACAGTGCACTCATTCCTCATCCTGTAAGTGCAGTTGACAGTGCACTCATTCCTCATCCTGTAAGTGCAGTTGACAGTGCATTCATTCCTCATCCTGTAAGTGCAGTTGACAGTGCACTCATTCCTCATCCTGTAAGTGCAGTTGACAGTGCACTCATTCCTCATCCTGTAAGTGCAGTTGACAGTGCACTCATTCCTCATCCTGTAAGTGGCAGTTGACAGTGCACTCATTCCTCATCCTGTAAGTGGCAGTTGACAGTGCACTCATTCCTCATCCTGTAAGTGCAGTTGACAGTGCACTCATTCCTCATCCTGTAAGTGGCAGTTGACAGTGCACTCATTCCTCATCCTGAAAGTGCAGTTGACAGTGCACTCATTCCTCATCCTGTAAGTGCAGTTGACAGTGCACTCATTCCTCATCCTGTAAGTGCAGTTGACAGTGCACTCATTCCTCATCCTGTAAGTGCAGTTGACAGTGCACTCATTCCTCATCCTGATAATTATTCTTATCATTCCTTATCACAGACGTGGCCACACATTTACAATGCTAACCAGCATATATACATTTTCTTCTGTCCTCCATGGACAGGGTGAGAGATTTGTCAACCATACAGTTCAGGGATTTATTGAACAATCAACCACAGGTGATTGTAGTGCTTTTAAAATGCTAGGCTAAGCTACATACGTAAATACATTGATACACAGATTAATGTATGCTACATAAAGTGTTTGATGTGTCTTTTTACATAGTGTCATTAATGTGCATTTACAAAGGTGAAATGTAATTCTGATAAGCTTCCACATATACTTTATACACATACATATACATACATTAATTGTCTCTTTTACTCTGAAAGGGTGAGATAGTTGATAGAGAAACTAGTGTGTAATTAAGAACTTAACCACTGAAGGTGATTAAGATGCTTTTATAAGCTCAGGTTATATAGTTACATCACATACATACATTGTATAATTGATACATTACATGGTCAATCTAGGGTACAAGTCCAATATATCATTAAGTGTTGGTGGGGTCTACTGCTTTATTTAGTAATGACAAGTCTCTCGGAGGGTATATAAATGGCGTCATGTCAAAGGGTAATATATATATACAAGGCTAATGTTAAGTGCAATTGTATTCCTAATTTGTGTATTTGGTGTGATATAGACAGTTATATGAATAGCTATTTGTTAATAGCTATTCATAGCTTTGTTAAATCATCTAATTTTAAAATCACTTGTTTGATTGTTTAAAAACTATTGTACCGATGCAGTGTTATCGTCATTATTATACACAAGCTTTTGTTCTATCATAAAGTTGATTTCATGTATTCTTGCTTCATGTTAATAAATTATATACGACAGCCACATATAATCCTGATTTCGTTTTGCAATTTTAGTGTAGTAACATTTGTTATTATATAGGACCAAAATTGGTGTGGTAATCTTTCAGTGATCTTTTAGAGGCCTGTACATTTGAGCTATTCTACAATGGCGCCATATTTGCTCTTGTACCTCATTACAGTATATATATTTTATTCTCGAGAGCTTTAAAAAATCTTTAAATTTTGTTGCAATTTTTTGCTTCGCAGGTAAGGTGCAGAAGACTGATATATCAAGGTATCTGAAAGAGCAGACAGTAGGTAAGTAGTCAATCTTCAGTTTTGGTGATCCACTCATACGATTACCTATTTGTTTATTGAACACCTTAGAGTTTTTCTTTGGAGATTACAAAGTCTAATGCTTTCACAGGCTATGTATACAGTTTAAGATGTTCTGAATATCCTGATAAGTTTTGTGTTGGTAAAATAGCCTAGTCTCCAGTGTCGCAGCTGATCACCTAAGTCTATTTTTACTAGGATATAAAATATAAGTTTCCTTTTAGCAATATAATTATAAACGGAATTAATATAGAGAGCAAGAGTTTCAGTCACATTTGTATGGATACACTCCCACACAGATGTTGTCCAGTACGATGCCACGGACAAGGCAACTAAAGCTGCAGGTGTTAAGACTGAAATTGAGTTAGATCTGGGCATAAAAGGGGAGAAAGCACGAATATAAACAATGTTTAGAACCGAGAACTATATGTACGGACAGTACAAAACATCCACCAGTGTAACATTGTAATTGGCAGAATTAGGTTGGGATATCGATATCTATGGCAGGTGGCTGTAGGTAGTGAATCGCCTAATGGTGAACACTCCAATTGTAAACTGTGAACAAGAGCTGGGACACACTCTCCAACACTATATCCGTGGTTGCCCTGTTATCAATGAGTTCAGACAAAATTGTATGAGGTCCTTTGAGCTCTGCAACTAGTACATACACTCTTGAGTATTGGAAGATATTCTTGTGTTCTACCCAGAGTTTGCTAGTGCAGGTTAATTGATTAGACTCGTTTGTTATAAAAAAAAATTAAGACCGAATTTAGAAGATATGGTTTCGACATCTTCATTTACTGCCATATTATTTCTTAGTAACTACTCCAAATGGCGAGAGTACCGGCCGACTTTACTCTCACCGTAGCGGCCGACGCTACTCTCACTATAGCGGCCAACGCTACTCTCATCCAAGCGGCCGACGCTACTCTCACTATAGCGGCCGACGCTACTCTCACTATAGCGGCCGACGCTACTCTCACCAAGCGGCCGACGCTACTCTCACCGTAGTGGCCGCGTAGTGGCCGACGCTACTCTCACCAAACGGCCGACGCTACTCTCACCGTAGCGGCCGACGCTACTCTCACCGTAGCGGCCGACGCTACTCTCACCGTGGCGGCCGACGCTACTCTCACCGTAGTGGCCGACGCTACTCTCACCAAGCGGCCGACGCTACTCTCACTATAGCGGCCGACGCTACTCTCACCGTAGCGGCCGACGCTACTCTCACCGTAGCGGCCGACGCTACTCTCACCGTAGCGGCCGACGCTACTCTCACCGTAGTGGCCGACGCTACTCTCACCGTAGCGGCCGACGCTACTCTCACCGTAGCGGCCGACGCTACTCTCACCGTAGCGGCCGACGCTACTCTCACCGTAGCGGCCGACGCTACTCTCACCGTAGCGGCCGACGCTACTCTCACCGTAGTGGCCGACGCTACTCTCACCGTAGTGGCCGACGCTACTCTCACCAAACGGCCGACGCTACTCTCACCGTAGCGGCCGACGCTACTCTCACCGTAGCGGCCGACGCTACTCTCACCGTGGCGGCCGACGCTACTCTCACCGTAGTGGCCGACGCTACTCTCACCAAGCGGCCGACGCTACTCTCACCGTAGCGGCCGACGCTACTCTCACCGTAGCGGCCGACGCTACTCTCACCGTAGCGGCCGACGCTACTCTCACCGTAGCGGCCGACGCTACTCTCACCGTAGTGGCCGACGCTACTCTCACCGTAGCGGCCGACGCTACTCTCACCGTAGCGGCCGACGCTACTCTCACCGTAGTGGCCGACGCTACTCTCACCGTAGTGGCCGACGCTACTCTCACCGTAGCGGCCGACGCTACTCTCACCATAGCGGCTGACGCTACTCTCACCGTAGCGGCCGACGCTACTCTCACTATAGCGGCCGACGCTACTCTCACTATAGCGGCCGACGCTACTCTCACTATAGCGGCCGACGCTACTCTCACCATAGCGGCCGACGCTACTCTCACCATAGCGGCCGACGCTACTCTCACCGTAGCGGGCTATATTACTTGCACACGTAGTGGCCGACACTCGTTGAAACCTTAATTCCTGAGCAAGTTAGAAGACATTAATCTTGATCGCTTCATTTAAAGGTTCAATGGAACGCACTCAAGTGCTCCCCTAAATGTTGGATAGGGGCGTAGATGCTGTTTCACTAATATAGTTCCGAATTCCCATTTTCGGGGAGAGGAAACATCAACCTTCGTTATTAAATTTAAAAAATTGTGATTATTGCACCCCCCCCCCCTCTCTCTCTCTCTCTCTCTCTCTCTCTCTCTCTCTCTCTCTCTCTCTCTCTCTCTCTCTCTCTCTCTATATATATATATATATATATATATATATATACATATATATATATGTATATATATACATATATGCAACAATGATCACAAAAACACTGATCCAAGTATGCAGAATAACCACATATGAAAAATAGAAAATGCTTAACGCGTTTTCGGCTAATTCGCCTTCATCAGAGCAAAGATTCTACTTTGCTCTGATGAAGGCGAATTAGCCGAAAACGCGTTAAGCATTTTCTATTTTTCATATGTGGTTATTCTGCATATATATATATATATATATGTATATACATATATATGTATATATATATATATATATATATATATATATATATATATATATATATATATATATATATATGTCGTACCTAGTAGCCAGAACGCACTTCTGAGCCTACTATGCAAGGCCCGATTTGCTTAATAAGCCAAGTTTTCCTGAATTAATATATTTTCTCTAATTTTTTTCTTATGAAAAGATAAAGCTACCCATTTCATTATGTATGATGTTAATTTTATTTTATTGGAGTTAAAATTAACGTTGATATATGACCGAACCTAACCAATCCTACCTAACCTAACCTAACCTATCGCTATTGGTTAGGTTAGGTAGCCGAAAAAGGTAGGTTAGGTTAGGTAGGTTAGGTTGTCGAAAAACAATTAATTCATGAAAACTTGGCTTATTAGGCAAATCGGGCCTTGAATAGTAGGCTGAGAAGTGCGTTCTGGCTACTAGGTACGACATATATAAATATAATATATATGTGTGTGTGTGTGTGTGTGTGTGTGTGTGTGTGTGTGTGTGTGTGTGTGTGTGTGTGTGTGTGTGTGTGTGTGTGTGTGTGTGTGTGTGTGTGCACAATTAGGTCTATGATTGTGTAAGGTCTACGATTTATTAAGCCTAAGATAAAGATAAGTTTGATTAGATTTACGGTTAGGCTATTTCAGCTTTTGTTATGTCCTTTAGAATTTCAGTAGTACATAATGAGTCCTTTGGGTGCGACCTTGGGTTAATGTTCGTAGTGTTCAGTAGGCTTCCCTTCAGGTTCTCACAGCATCGTATATTTGAATGCATAACTTTGTTACCAGCCAAATTTAACAATCAGGTCCTTTGATATCATCTTATTTCTTTATTTTTCTGATGATTCTTATTGAATAATACACAGTAACCATTGTTTTATTTTAATAATCGAGCATCACTGCATTGCTACTAGGCTATGTGTAATTATACATACCATTGTATATATGATAATTGGTATATTGCATATACTGTCATATTGCTATTATACCTACAAATAATAAGTATTTATGAGTGTTAAATGCATAGTTTTGTAAAATAACAGTTGTTCACGATATTGTACTGTCGATAATAATCGCTTTCCGACATGACAACAAGAACATATTATCTTATTTCTGTCATTTGGAGATAATTTCTGTAATTTAGAGATATATCTTTTCTCTGACATGTTCCCATAGTAATAGATAATAATGCTCTGGTACCATTTTCCTGATGCTGTATTATGCATGCTAAGTGCTCAGTATCAAGTTTATGTATATAATACGTGCTACTCGTCTAGGCTCAGACTCCACAAACATATTCAGTCGAAACAATAGCGTGAATGTACTAGTATTTATTAACAAAGTTTCTAAATAACAATAATCCTTCGCCACAACAAGAAGCTGAAAGATCTCGCACACAATATTGGAGACATTGTGTACAGCAACACACTTGTTTAAAAAGACAACACAATATCTGGTCTTATTTTACTTAGTTCAGCTTGACGGGTTCTAGTATTTTTATTTATCTTGTTATCTATTGATGAAATATGACAGTTCTGAGGGATATTAATCGTGTATATAATTCCTGACCTTCATATGCGTATCATTCAAATTAGATATATATCTAATTCAATCATCATTATTTCTCCATATTCTCCAATTTGGAGAAAAGAATAAGGGAGCCTTGTAGTTGTATTTCTCTCTCATGTGTTCCTCGTCCTTTCTCCAGAGGGAAGAAATATTTCTCACCACCTCATGCAGACGAAAATTGTTCCTTCTCAGAGTTGAGTTCATTTCCGTCGTTTGTTCTACTCCACAAAGGAAATAAACAGACAATTAAAAAAGATTAAAGGCTGCGCAATACTCTCCGTCTGTTCTTCCTCGACGTACTTAATCTTCATCCTGGTGCCGTCGAAGCGAGGGGAAGCGAGGAAAACATTTGTGACTGTGAAATATTCTTTAAGTCTCTCAGGAAATCAACCTTCTGGTAGTGGCGGTGTTGCCGTCGCGAGGGGCATACATTTTTCTGGTAAATAATCACCGGGATGGCGGCTCCAGTATTCTCCGACAAGCGCCGCTATTGTTTCTCTATGATGGCGCTCACAGTCAATGGCTATTTTTTGGGCAATACCTGCGAGAATTTGTGGCGATTATTTGGCCTTTGTGGCGAGTTTCTGGAGCGAAATTAACACAGAATTGCCTCTACCCGGATAGCAATGGTTGGATGCACGCAGGAGTTTTTAAGGAGGTCGGGGGATCTATGTAAATTGAAGCGTATTAAGATAGCTCGCTGCTATCTTAATGTTTACCGATGAGCTGCTCGTTTAGCTCGTAAAATAATAGTTCACGGGTTAATTTCGTAGTCGAGTAGAAGGCAGATATTCAGAATTAAAAAAAAAGATGTTATGCTGACCTGAAACAGTGAAAGAGGGAGAATGTAGAAAGTTAAGATGGAGGATTGTCAATAAAGGCGTTTAAAGCTTAGATTATATAGGAGAATAATTATGAGGGAGCTTAGACGGCGGCGGTGTAAAGGGGAGACTAAAATATGGGGATGCAAAGGGGCAATGAAGAGTTTAGACTCATTAGTCGTGAATGGAAATATGAGGCAGATTAGAGAATGAGAGTGTGGGAGGTAACTATGAGGGAGTTTGGACGGTAAAGGTCAGTGAGAAGTTTGAGGGAATTTAAACAGTAAAGGATGTTACTGAGAAGTCTGACGAAGTTTCGACAGTGAAGGAGGTTAGTGAGAAGTGTGAGGGAGCTTAGACAGTAAAGGATTTTTAAGAAGTCTGAAGGGACTTAGGCAGTAAAGGAGGTTAACTGGAAGTATGAGCGAGTTTTAGTTCTGAGAGAATGACACGAACGAGAAGGTTATGGGAGTGTGGACAATGAAGGCGTTAGGGAGAATAATGAAGGGCTACAATGTGGTGGGTTAGATGCTAACTTACTGGTAATGTGCTGGTGTACCCGGGAGTGTTACGGAGAGGGACAAGCAAGCTTCAGGTGAAGTATTGAGAAGTTTTGGGATAATTAGACGAAAAATATCAGTCCAAAATAGACGAAAATTAAAAAAAAATGAGATGTTTATTTAATAAATATTAATCCACTACATATGCTAGGGGTGGTAAATGCATGAGGCTGTATAAAGTATGAAGACCACTAAATTATGAGTGTGTGGGACAAGTAAGTATATATATATATATGTCGTACCTAGTAGCCACAACGCACTTCTCAGCCTACTATGCAAGGCCCGATTTGCCTAATAAGCCAAGTTTTCATGAATTAATTGTTTTTCGACTACCTAACCTAACTTTACTTAACTTTTTAGGCTACCTAAGCTAACCTAACCTATAAAGATAGGTTAGGTTAGGTTAGGTTCGGTCATATATCTACGTTAATTTTAACTCCAATAAAAAAAAATTGACCTCATACATAATGAAATGGGTAGCTTTATCATTTCATAAGAAAAAAATTAGAGAAAATATATTAATTCAGGAAAACTTGGCTTATTAGGCAAATCGGGCCTTGCATAGCAGGCCGAGTACGACGTTCTGGCTACTACGTACAACATATATATATATATATATATATATATATATATATATATATATATATATATATATATATATATATATATATCTATATATATATATATATATATATATATATATATATATATATATATATATATATATATATATATATATATATATATATATATATATATATATATATATATATATGTCGTACCTAGTAGCCAGAACGCACTTCTTGGCCTACTATGCAAGGCCCGATTTGCCTAATAAGCCAAGTTTTCCTGAATTAATATATTTTCTCTAATTTTTTTCTTATGAAATGATAAAGCTAACCATTTCATTACATATGAGGTCAATTTTTTTTATTGGAGTTAAAATTAACATAGATATATGACCGAACCTAACCAACCCTACCTAACCTAACCTATCCTATCTCTATAGGTTAGATTAGGTTATGTAGCCGAAAAAGTTAGGTTAGGTCGTCGAAAAATAATTAATTCATGAAAACTTGGCTTATTAGGGAAATCGGGCCTTGCATAGTATGCTGAGAAATGAGTTCTGGCTATTAGGTACGACACACACACACACACACATATATATATATATATATATATATATATATATATATATATATATATATATATATATATATATATATATATATATATAATAATAATTTTGATGAATGAATGGGGACAGATACAGCCTTTTCGACTTTATACTTTTTTAAGGAAAAAAAGCGTATTATTTTATTGGACGATGTTTATTTTACTAAGTTAACAAGTATCGTTTATAATTTATTCTATTACTGTAATTGCTTAGTACAGTACAGTGTATTGCTTTGTAATTATTATTATTATTATTAGTAGTAGTAGTAGTAGTACCAGGAGTAATAGTAGGAGTAGTAATAAGAGTAGTAATAGTAGGGGCA